GTGCGGGGTATTGACAGCCGAATTCTGTGGCCTCGGTGTGGCATCTCTGCAGCAAAGAGCTACAATTGAAAGTGTAGACCGGTCTGTAGCTGACATGTTGGGCGGCTACATACATGCAAGAAGGCAGGGGCGGGGATGGTTGGGGGCGATGAAAGGAGTCCACGGTGTGCGATGTAGATCCGGCACTGGGGGGAGGAAGGAGGGGAGTGGGGAAGCGGGCGGCGACGGTGGGGGTAAGTGGATGGGGGAGGAGGAGGTCAAGACATGGCCGTATGCGCGACGCACGGAGAAGTGAATATGTGCCCAAACGGAGCCGATTTGCTGAATCTCGATCTCACCGTTCCATCGCGGCCGTGTCCGGCTGCATCGCATCGCCCCAGACGTGTCTCCCCAATCAACGCCTCCGCGTGCACCGCCGCCAGTTCTGCATACACCTTCCCAGAGCCGCGCCGTTCCACCTTCACCGCTTGCCTACCGCTTTACCATCAAACTCCCGCGCGTGTCCGCTTCATTGTACACATTCGCCTATCCGTGCGTGACCCTCCAGTTGACCGCGGATGGTGGTCGCGCTTCGCGCGTTTCTGCACTATACTCATTGCCTCGTTGTCCCCGTGCAGTCGGGGAGCAAGCGGGAAATGCTCTCCGGGCCGCAGCCGCATGCTTTCCTATTTCTACGTGCCCGCTGGAGCTCGCCGCCGAGCTCGCCGTGATGCAGGTCAGGGATGCTTTCAGGTCGCCATCGATTTGTTGCTATCAATTTTGGAGAGCAGGGGCAGCTCGGATGCACGTCGGAGCAACGTGCCGTTCGGGGGCAGCTTGAGAGGGGCGCAGTGGGGATTGTAGAGATGGACGTGGACGGCGGGCCATTAATGAGCATGAGCAAGGGCAACTCTTCCCGCTAATTACGGGTGTTGCATGCCGGCGGTATTCGCAAAGCCATCCTCCTCGCGCTCTCCCCTACAAGTATACTCAGAATCCCTGCCAAATTCGCAACAGACACGTTTCTACCCTCGCATGATGTGCAGAATCCACACATCAAGCGCGGGTTCAAAACTATCTATTGCTTGTAAGGAAACGGTCTGCACTGCAGCACGCCGCACGCGACGCCTCCCATCCGCGTTCCCGCCCTTGCCGCCAGGCAGCCCTCCGATCCGACAGTGCTGTAGCGCGTCGTAGGCGCGCCCAGGCGTCTTCCTCATCCAGATAATGAACAGTTAATCCCGACGCCATTGAGCAGCTTCTGTACCCGCTCTTTTA